AAAAACATAATTTTCTTAATTGTATTGCGACACATACTACTATGCCTGACATCTATCATGGTATCAATATTTTCTTAAAAGTATAAAAAGTTTCTGCAAAGGCCCAGCGCTGTGGTCTAGCGGCTAAAGTCTCACCTTGAACGTGCCAGGATCCCATATGAACACCAGTTCTAATCCCAGTGGTCTTGCTTCCCATCCTGTTCCCTGCTTATGGTCTGGGAAAGCAGTGGCCTGGGAAAGCAGTCCAGGTGGGTCCAAAGCCTTGGGACCCTGCACCTGTATGGGAGACCTGGAAGAAGCTCCTGGAATCTGGATGGATCGGCACAGTATCAGCCGTTGAGGTCACTTGGGGAGTGAACCATTGTGCAGAAGATCTTCCACTCTGTCTCTCCTCCTCTCTGTATATCTGATTTTAGGTTAAACATAAAATAAATCTTTTTTTAAAAAGTTTCTGCCAAACAACATGCATAAGTTTTTTACATTTTGGACATTTGTCATTTGCATAAACAGATAATAGTTGTCATGGACGGAATAGTGAATAATAAAAATAAAAATAATGAAGATTTTCAGACTTCATATTTTACTTGAAATAATTTGACTTTAATCTGATTGCTCCATAAGATCCATCTGTATTCTCTTACTATTTATCTGCAACAATTTTTTTTCCCTCTACATGACTGCTTGAGTTGTACTATGATGCGTAAAAGGTTTATTGTGAAAGCTGTGTCTAGGTATACAGTCTAAAATCTTAAAGAGAAATGACAAAACTGGAGAATTTAACTTTTGTTCATATAATAATCATAATGAAATATCGGCATAGAAAAATGCCAGTTTATATCATTCTAACCATCAGAGCTACAAACTTCACATCTGCAATCATTGTCAGTGATAACATTTTAGCCATTTGAGTGAATTGATTACAGTCATTCAAAGACAATAACGGTCGTCACCTACTTGTGCAATAATGACCTTGGACTAGGTTTGGTTTTCAAAAACTTAAAAATAGGAAGAAAAAGAAGTAAAAGGACAAGAAAGATACTGAATAGGAGAGCTAATAAAACAGAGTAAAGCAAAAGCAGTATTCCATTTTGACAGTGCGCAGAACCTCCTTAGGTGCTATTTTCCTTTGGTGGTGCTAAAATTTTGCATTGTCATTTTCGAAGCAATGATAATATAAATAACCCTTAGCATTTGGGGACTATTCCCCTCCCCCAGAGGACAGCGCAGTAGTCTGGACTTCGTGGAATGGGGACAATACTACCTGCTGTGACACAAGACCTCTTTTGATGGAGTAACAGCTGTTCATCACCTGAATGAAAGGAATTGTAGAAAACCACTTTATTATACCTTTCTTATTTTTTAGCTTTGGAATGTAGAACTGATATATTGGAATTGAAACTATTATTCCAGAGGTCTTGTAGATCATCTGATAATTCAAAGAGTTCACTACTTTTATAGAAATTGAACAGGAAAAAATCCATCACTTGTCTGTGAGGAAGACAATTTTAAAGTGCTGAGTGGTAAAACTAGAAAACCATATATGAAAATCCAATTAACGCAATGAATTGCTTAATAATGTATGTTATTAAGTGTGGTTATATGGAAATTATTATTTAAGTTTATAAATAAGACAGTGTTCGGTTTATGGAATTCCGATAATTTCATCAACTCAACATCTGCTTTTGTGTGAATCTGCAATCGCATTTTAGTCTTCAGTTAGCTGGCTCAAGGTGACTTAGCATCAAGTCATCCTGTGACCTACATAACCACCAGAGAACACTAAGGGATTGTTACTGGCAAAATTCCTGAAAGTATTCAGCAGCTAGAACACATGTGGAACCGTCATAATTGCCTCTAGTAGGAAGCATGTATTGACAAAGATGAAAAAGGGTTAATTGAAGAGACCTGGAAGATTGGCATTCAAGGTCATATGATTGATAACCTTTTGCTCTCTAAATAAAACAATGACAAAAGATAGCATAAAACCAAATAGCGTTCTTCCACAGAATTAAAATGAATGAAGAAGATGTCCCTAATTCTGATTTATACAGACAGAATTTCTGCAAAGTATTATAGCAGAGGTGAATAGTGAATAACTCTCATTAAGCAAATGGCTTTTTCAGTGTTTGGGGCAGAAGCCTCAAGTCATGTTAGCTGAGGGTTAAGAATATGACCCTTTGTATTTAATTTTCTTCTCTGAGTATTAATAACATGGCTAAGAATAGCTCTCATTTTAAAGTTCAGCCGTTGAAATATAATTGGGCAGAAAAAAACCCAGCTATTCTAGTTTAAAGAGGTAAAACTGATTATGATTACAGAATCCCAATAACGCAGAGAAGTTAGGTAAACACCTATAGGACAAATCTGAGTCAGGAGCTTGCTTACCACGTTGTGTTAAATCTGCTTGGGAAACAGTGTAGGCAAACTTCATTCTCGGACTTTGACCTGTCCCTGCCTTTAACTGAAGTCTCATGGTCATGAATTTCATCTTGTGTGTGTGTGTGTGTGTGTGTGTGTGTTTTCCTTCCTTAATCTGCATCCTTTGTTCACACTAACATTTCATTTTCAGGCATGGGGTAAGTGGGTTTTGCAAAGAAGTAAAGCTTTGCCTTAGCAGACAGACACAATCCTGCTTAATAACGATGCTAAGTAATTATTGCTAAAATGTGCACTGCAAGGAAAACATGACTTTGAAATGACTACGGTATGATTAAAATGTAACTGTGGTGCTCCTGAAATGAATTGGAAAGTGGTTGCAATGCTGTGTTTATGCTAAGTGTATCAGGATGATAGTTCACTTATTTTAGAGTGGTTCAGAGCATTCAAAAGGTGACAAGCAGCATTACTTGTAGATTTTATGAATGGGAAAATGATCCTTCACCATGATAAAAACAAAAAGTCATCCTTTTTTCCACTGCATTACGGTATGAAGCAATACTACCCTTTTGACCTTTGAATATTTAAGTGATTCCTTTGTATTTTTCAATTTTATATAGTCTGAACATGCAAAGTGTTACTGTAATAAGCATTGTTTGGTTATTTTAAAATATCAGTCTATTGTGGGGGGGGGGGAATGTTTTATGTTTAACATATAAAGGACTAACAGATTTTAGAGCAAACTTTTAGACCCTGCAGTTTTGCTATAGACATTCTTCTGAGGATAAGCTTGAATAAAGAGGAATTTGCAAATTTCTTATGGAGAACCTGTTGTCAAATGAGCTAGCTAAAACATGAAATGAGCGATACCATATAGAGTTTGATAGGTTTGGTTAGTGATATAAATCCATGTACATACACATACTGTCCTATTTACCTTTGCCTCAGACGTCTAACAACACATGTCCATGTTTAAATTTAAAAATCACTGCGTCAAATCAAGAGAAATTACAGAACATGCCAGCATCCTGTATAGGTATGTGCGTGTCCTTAAATGCTCTCCTGTATCCCAGCAGAGCACAGGGAATCCAAGTTTAAAATAAACGCCCTGTGCTCCTTCTGTGAGTTAGAACCAGTTACTCAGTCAGGCATCGAGAGCATCTCCAACGCCTTTATAGGTCATTCAGAAAAGCATGCTCCGTTATTGTTTCTTTTTATTCACAGTGAGCTGCTATTGTGCTAATGCCTCAAAACTTTCCCAGGATTTCTGACAGATACAACCCATAACACAAACCTTCTAAGTTTACTGATTGTAAAACAGGAATGAAATGGAGATAATGCGTCGGGGTCCCAAGTCAAGGGGATAAGGCTAATCCATTAGAGTCCTTCCTTCTGGCTTTTGTGTGGAAATAAGATACCTGCGAGGATGTAGTACAGTAGCGTAGGGGGGAAAAAAATCCTAATTGCTCTCGGAAAGAGACAAAGATGAAATAAAGTTGGAATCAGCAGAAAGTGCAGAGGCAAAAGGAAGTGTTTCACAGCTTGGGGGAAACAGCTGTTCAGCCTTGCGGAGGCAAAGTTAGGGGAGCTGGAAGCGGGTTTGGCTGCAACCTCCAGTCTGGGCCAGTTGAGTTTTTCAGCTTTTCAGGCAGCGACAGAGGCAGAAGCCTGGGGGCTTGGTCAGGACAGGCCAGCACAGGCCGGTGCTGGGTCCCAGAGGCGACTTTGGTGCGGAGAGCCCTGGGACCAGGGCTGATCAATGAGATCTCAGGATGCCTCACCTTCCGTTCCCCCACGGCAGTCTTCGTGACCCCGCTCGTAGTGGATGCTGAGATTATTCTTTTCTTTCTTCTTGGACTTAGATTCAAATTTCCACTGCCTCCACCTTTCGCTCCCAGCCTTTTGAGCCCTTCTTTGCACCTTCCCTGCCTGTAAACGCTTCTGGTTGCAGCCGCACACTGTCCTTCAAAGCGCTCGCTCAGTTAACTATGGTTCCCCCCCGCCGAGGGCTGGTAACAAGCGCTCCTCTTAGAAGTGCCTAGGATCCCGGGTTCACTCTCCCTTCTGTGCCTTCAGGCCTCTCCACTTAGCCAACAGAAGTGCAAAACCTGCGCCCCCCGGGGAATGTGCCGCCACCTCTAGCCCTCTGGCCTCTGGCAGTGCCCCAGGCTTCCCAGCATCCAGCCTCGACGCGTTCCCTTCTGGTCGGCTGCGCCGCCGTCTCTCTGGTCCGCGGAACGGCCCCCGACGCTGGGGCTCGGCAGCTGGTGGTGATGCCAGCCTTGGGGAGCCTCAGCGCTTCCCTGCCTCCGGGGCTGCACGGCGCCGGGCATGCTCAGTCCACCTCCCTGCAAGCCGGCTCTCCCCGGGCCAGGATCATCTTTCCGGGTTTTCGGGGCTGCCAGGGGAGGGTGAGGAGGAGGAGGAGGAGGAGGAGGAGGGGAAGCCGGGACACAGTCAGCGCCTTGTTCTGCACCCCCTCCCTTCGCCCTGGCTGATGCTGCTGCTGCTGCTGCTGCTGAGGCCGCCCGCACCGCAAGATGCAGGCCAATCAGCGGGCAGAGGCGGGGTCTGTGCCGTCACGCCCTCCCTCTGGGCTCACTGAGAGTTATATCAAGAAATTCAGTTCAGAGAGGAGAGAGAGGAGAGGGAGAAGGCGAAAGGGGCTGAGGAGCGGGGAGAGAGGGCGAGCACGCAAGGTAGCAAAGGAGCGCCTAGATTCTCCGAGGCACGCAGGAGGACCGGTGAGGAATTCCTTTCTCGGGCAGCTGTCACGGAGCGGGAGGGCATCCAGAGAAACCCCATCACAATGCCCCAACTCTGAACCTTCCGACCAGAAGTTAGAGACTTAAGCAGTACTGACGTCGGATGGAAAGGGAATGCGCTCGGCGCTGTGGGGAATACTCCCGAGCTGAAGAAGTGCCTGTGACAGAGACCCGAGGAGCCCAGCTCCGGCGGGCAACACAGAGGAAAATGTGGCGAGAATGACTAACGGCAAATCTGTGAATTTGTTCTCGGGAGTTGCTAATTTGCCAGCCCGAAACAACGCGTTTGACAAGGAGGAAACGTTTTTTTCGCTGCTTCTGATTTCTCCCCTAAACTGGTGCTACCACATGCATGGCTTTCTCTGTGTTGGAACGGATCGTTTGTAACTGCAGCACACCGGGAAAGGGGAAAGGTTGAGCAACTCACGTAAGTGTAAAGTTTCGCATGCACAATGGTGTATTTAGTGTTGAGCTGTGTCCTCTGGGCAGACAAGGCATGTTTGTAATTGGGTAGATGGCTGGGGCAGAGCTCACCCACTCGGTTCTATCTGCATCCCCACCTGCATCACTCTGCCGGAACTAATCGCGGGCATCAGCTACCGTGCAGTCTAATGCAGATAAGACTGGAGCCTAGGAACTGGCCAGTCCTACTCAAGAAGGTAGCTGCCTCCAGCCTTGTCCCCTTGCAAATTGCGGTGAGAGGAGCCTCCAGGCAGAAGGAACCTTATGACATGCATTACTCGGTTGCAGTATTTATGTGTGGTCAATGTTGCTAACATTATAACTGGACATAAGGGTGAAGAAACTGCATTTTCCCCCTTTTAGTCTCAGTTAGAGAAGAAATATACATATATACAGAGATAGCATGCTGTCACTGGAGGTTATTAGCTGCATTTTACTTACATGTCAGCACTCTTCCACTTCCAGGATAAGGAATCCTGGATGATTATATGTTTTTAAAAGTTTGAATGCGCTTCTTAATCCTGATGGGGACAACTGGGCCATATGGAGAACGGAGGGCAAGCTCCAGTAGGAAACGGGAAGTCTTGCTATTGTGCTTTTAGGCAGCGAGGCTGTGTAGTGGCCGGTGGGTCTTGCTTGCGATGCCGCAGCAGCATGTCCGGCTGCTTGTTTCCCAGCCAGACTGTCTTGGAAGGCAGTTGGAGAACTGAGTGGAAGGGCAAAGATAGTCTTTTTAAAGGAAACAGATGACTCCGTGTGGCATGGAAGAAAACACATCACATTTGACATGTGACAAAACAATTAGCACGAACCATGGCTAATCACTCAGGGTTTTCCACTTGTGTCTTTAAAAAAAAAAAGCGCTGATGATGGGGGTGAGGGGTTTAGGGGCCAAGAGGGGACTACAATGGGGGAGGGTCTGGGGGCGGGACGGGACGAGAAGAACAAGGGCACACGTTTTGAATTCAACAGTAGTCTCAAAAACAGTGTGGGCAAATCAAGGTAAAAATAGCAGCTGCCCTTATTTCCAAAGTAGCTAAATTCGTTTGCTCTGGACAAATGCAACAAGCATAGACTATGCAATGTTTTATCCACAGAGTTAACTCACAAACAGAGCCAGAGCAAACTGCCATGTTTACTGGTGTGCAGTGGCAAATGTGGTGTGGTGTTTTGTGACAATGTGTTTGTATTTACTGAAGAATAATACTGTATATGCGATTGTGTTGACAGTGGCGGTCTCCAAATAATCGCTGAGATGTAATGCATCCTCCCGTCCATGCCCACTTCCTCTTGCCATCTGGGCATCATTCCTCAGTGGAGTCCTTTAAACTCTAAAATCGAGCAAAAGGAAAAAAAATACATTATCATGGACCTGAGGGATTTTTACCTGCTGGCTGCTCTGATTGCCTGTTTAAGGCTGGATTCCGCAATAGCTCAAGAACTTATTTACACTATTAGAGAGGAATTGCCTGAAAATGTGCCCATAGGAAACATACCAAAGGATCTGAACATTTCTCACATCAATGCTGCCACAGGGACCAGTGCCAGCCTTGTCTACAGACTGGTTTCAAAAGCTGGGGATGCCCCTTTGGTGAAAGTGTCCAGCAGCACTGGAGAAATTTTCACAACCTCCAATAGAATAGACAGAGAAAAACTGTGTGCTGGAGCTGCGTATGCGGAGGAGAATGAGTGCTTCTTTGAACTTGAGGTGGTGATCCTCCCCAATGACTTTTTCAGGCTGATCAAAATAAAAATTGTTGTCAAGGATACCAATGATAATGCCCCCATGTTTCCATCTCCTGTCATCAATATTTCCATTCCGGAAAACACTTTGATCAACAGCCGCTTTCCAATCCCATCAGCCACCGATCCTGACACAGGCTTCAATGGTGTGCAGCATTATGAATTGTTAAATGGGCAGAGTGTGTTTGGACTGGATATTGTGGAAACTCCAGAGGGAGAGAAGTGGCCGCAATTGATTGTTCAGCAAAACTTGGATAGAGAACAGAAAGATACCTATGTGATGAAAATCAAAGTGGAGGATGGAGGCACTCCACAGAAATCCAGCACAGCCATACTACAGGTCACAGTAAGTGATGTCAACGACAACAGGCCCGTGTTTAAAGAGGGTCAGGTAGAGGTGCATATCCCCGAGAATGCTCCCGTGGGGACTTCTGTCATTCAGCTCCACGCCACTGACGCAGACGTAGGCAGCAATGCTGAAATCCGATATATATTTGGTGCCCAGGTCGCCCCTGCAACCAAAAGACTCTTTGCTTTAAATAATACTACTGGCCTGATTACAGTTCAGAGGTCTTTGGATCGAGAGGAGACGGCCATTCACAAAGTGACAGTGCTGGCTAGTGATGGCAGCTCCACTCCTGCTCGAGCAACAGTGACCATCAATGTCACAGACGTAAATGACAACCCTCCGAACATAGACCTCAGGTACATCATAAGTCCCATCAATGGCACCGTGTATTTATCTGAGAAAGATCCTGTTAATACAAAGATTGCCCTAATCACAGTTTCAGATAAGGACACAGATGTGAATGGCAAAGTGATCTGTTTCATTGAGAGAGAAGTCCCGTTTCATTTGAAGGCTGTGTACGACAACCAGTACTTGTTAGAGACTTCTTCTCTGTTGGACTATGAGGGCACCAAAGAATTCAGCTTTAAAATTGTTGCCTCTGATTCTGGGAAGCCCAGCTTAAATCAGACTGCCTTGGTAAGGGTTAAACTTGAGGATGAAAATGACAACCCACCAATTTTCAGCCAGCCTGTAATTGAGCTGTCAGTTTCTGAAAACAACCGACGTGGGTTATACTTAACAACTATTAGTGCCACGGACGAAGACAGTGGGAAAAACGCAGACATTGTGTATCAGCTTGGACCGAATGCCTCCTTCTTTGATCTGGACCGAAAGACAGGAGTTTTGACAGCCTCCAGAGTCTTTGACAGAGAAGAACAAGAACGATTCATTTTTACAGTCACTGCCAGGGACAATGGGACCCCTCCCCTGCAAAGCCAAGCGGCTGTGATAGTCACTGTTCTGGATGAGAATGACAATAGCCCCAAGTTTACTCATAATCACTTCCAGTTTTTTGTCTCTGAAAATCTGCCAAAGTATAGTACTGTGGGGGTGATCACAGTGACAGATGCAGATGCTGGCGAGAATAAAGCTGTGACTCTTTCCATCCTAAATGACAATGATAATTTCGTGTTGGATCCCTACTCGGGAGTCATAAAGTCCAACGTCTCGTTCGATAGAGAGCAGCAGAGCTCCTACACTTTTGACGTCAAAGCCACTGATGGAGGTCAGCCACCTCGTTCCTCCACTGCGAAAGTGACCATCAATGTCATGGACGTCAATGACAACAGCCCCGTTGTCATTTCCCCACCGTCTAACACCTCTTTCAAGTTGGTGCCGCTTTCAGCCATTCCGGGCTCTGTGGTAGCTGAAGTTTTTGCAGTGGACATTGACACTGGAATGAATGCCGAGCTGAAGTACACTATAGTGAGTGGGAACAACAAAGGCTTATTTCGCATCGATCCGGTCACAGGTAACATTACTCTGGAGGAAAAGCCGGCACCGACTGATGTAGGTTTGCATCGTTTGGTGGTCAACATCAGTGACCTGGGGTACCCTAAGTCGTTGCACACACTTGTGCTTGTATTTCTTTATGTTAACGACACGGCTGGAAATGCCTCCTATATTTACGACTTGATCCGCAGGACTATGGAGACTCCCCTGGACAGGAACATAGGGGATAGTAGCCAGCCCTACCAAAACGAGGACTATCTCACCATCATGATAGCGATCGTTGCAGGTGCCATGGTGGTCATAGTTGTCATCTTCGTCACTGTTCTGGTGCGCTGCCGCCATGCCTCTAGGTTCAAAGCTGCTCAGAGGAGCAAGCAAGGTGCGGAATGGATGTCCCCCAACCAGGAGCACAAGCAAAACAAGAAAAAGAAAAGGAAGAAAAGAAAGTCTCCCAAGAGCTCTCTTCTGAACTTTGTTACTATCGAAGAGTCCAAACCCGATGACGCGGTTCACGAACCTATCAATGGGACCATAAGCCTGCCCGCTGAGCTGGAGGAGCAAAGCATAGGAAGATTTGACTGGGGCCCAGCTCCTCCAACCACCTTCAAGCCCAACAGCCCTGACTTGGCCAAGCATTACAAATCTGCCTCTCCACAGCCTGCTTTCCATCTCAAACCAGACACTCCAGTTTCCGTGAAAAAGCACCATGTGATTCAGGAACTCCCTTTGGACAACACCTTTGTCGGGGGTTGTGACACCCTTTCCAAACGTTCTTCCACTAGTTCAGATCACTTCAGTGCCTCAGAGTGCAGTTCCCAAGGAGGCTTCAAGACAAAGGGCCCCTTACACACCAGACAGGTAAACGAGCACTTTTACTGGTCTATAAGTACTGCATACAAGTGCCCAGCCAACCAGTATTAACGTGCCAATGTGTCTATTGTTTTGTTCTAACTTTGCCATACTTATGGAGAGGGAAAAAAAAAAACTTGACCCCTTTTCAATTCCTTTGGGGCTCAGTCAAGAATTTTTAGAACAGCTTTGAAATTTCTGAGTTCTGAGAATTATTTAACCTCCCAGTTTCCTTCAAATGGCAAAAAGATGAAAAGAGGAAATTATTCCATAATGTCCCAGGATAATGTTTGCTGAAGAAGAAAACCTGTCCTCCTATGCCAAATTCTGCTCCTGGGGTTTCCAAATTGACTGCTTCAAGATTTTCATGTTACCTTTTGATCTAAAAAGTCACCTTCAAATCTCAAGTTATAAGTGACGTTTGAAGGTCTGACTGCAATTACGTTGGAACTATGGTTGCTAAAGGGGTTAATTTTTTTTTTTTTAGTCTCTAAAAGAGATAGTAGAATTTTAAATGTACATCAGCTGTGAAGCACATGATTGTTGAGAGATTGCAACTAAGCCATACAGGAAGTCTTTTGGTTTCAAATTATTTTATTGTACTCTAGCAAATTGGGTGTTTAATGGAAAGATTTTCACTGTCGACAATGGCCAAATACTCTTTCAAAAAGAAAAAAAAAGGAATGCATTCTCTTTGATAGAACTGATTTATCAAGCAAAGAATGAATCCATTGTAAATATTCTCTCATTTTAGTAATGCCTAAGTGATCTGTCATAACTCATTTTAAACTGTGAAATATGCCATATGAAGAGGGATTAAGAGGCTGAGAAACTCATATTTCAACCAAATCCAGAATTAGTTTTTCTTAGGTCTAATAAGTCCTTGTTAATAAAGATTTAAATTCAGCGCTGTCTAATTTATTTCACTGGTGCTTGTCTTCTGCCACGAAATTTGAATGTCGGTGATAGCCTGTAGATGGCACTAGGGTATCATGTGGCTTGTGCTGGCCTGGTGCCAGTCCCGCAGTAGTACAGCAAGGTGGGGTGGAGGGAAGGATCAAACTGGAAGTACAGCCAAAGATACCTTTTTATTTAATGATAGTTGCAATGGAGCAGCTAGTATTTACGTTCACTTGCTTGCTCTTTTGTGATTAGCTCTCTCAATACCAACTTTTTTAGGATTTTGTAATCCAAGTTCTGCCTTGGACTAGATGTCCTTCTGGTGATGTCCCATGTGCAGTTGTTAAAATAGCAGACATGTAGGTTTTCAGAAAACTAACAAAATTCGTTTACAGAAGGCTTGGTAGGCATTGATTAGTCTTTTGATAATGAGTTTTCCTTTTCTGAGGTAGAGTCAGGTATTTCACAAGCTGCACTATTTACTGTGTTGTAATGTCCTTACAGCTTCACTGTTCTGCTTCTAAGAGTAAGTTAAACAATGACTCACACAGAGAATCCCAAAATATTAAGTATAATGCTTATGATCTTGCAAGTAAAGTTTCCGTACCAAGTGTTAAATATCTACAGCATTTTGAAAGTGCATCTGCTTTGCATTTGAAAGCATAGAGGACAGCTCTGAAATCAGTTTGGAAGTTGTAGAGGACACTGTGACAGTGGTAGAAGTTCAGGCTGCAGCTACTGACATTTTCATGTTTATCAGCAGTTTAAAAGAGGATGATGTTGAACATTTGGAAATTTCCCAGTCGTAGTGAATACTTATAAAATCAGTTAAAGTTGTTTAATATGGTAAGAAAAAAATCATTTATAAGCTAAAAGGGTTTTAATTAGGAAATTACTGATGCAAGAATCTTTTTTTTATAATTTACTCTTATTGTGAATGTTCACAATATGCATATTCCGTGATTTGCATAGAATCTTGAAGAAACTATGATTTACTTTTCATGTAAATCCAAAATTTGTTTTCCATATATGTGTACTTTGAGATGTCCCACATTACATTTCTTTTTGTGTAAATGTAATGACTATTAATTTTGGTGTACAGACTCACTTTTTCTAAATTTTCAGTAGCTGAACCTCAATAGAGTGCAGTGATATGAATGTTAAATGCATTTCAGCAAAGTATGGATAAGATCCTTTATTAAGGGTTCATCTTAAAAATGTTTGTATGATGTAATCTTTCAAATAGGTTGCTGACTAATACTCTATCTGGAACTGAAGTGTATTTTAAACATTCCATATGACCACGTGTATCTTTTCAGGTCTCCTGTAGACATTCTATTGCCCAAATATAGTTATAACTCACCATTATGATTAAAAGCCATTGTAAGCCATACCTTTAAGAAGTTTTCATAAAGCAAAAGTGTGGTGTTAAATAACAGCAATATTGAAAGTAAGTTGGGAGGTAGTGGTGATGCACATAGCTTTGTATAGGTTAGGAAAAAGAATCTTGTTTTATGTGAACGAGGGCCATAAATTATATTACCACTCTTTAAAGCTTTGTTTTTTGTAGCAATATTGATATTTGAACATATTCTGGTAAAGCTAAATATTTTTTTAAGAAAGTCCTCAGTCCCTTTACTTCAGTTAGTGGCTTTTATGCAAAATCTGCTCTGAATTGGAAAATCACATGATTTTGGAAAAATAACATTCATGGCTAAAAAGTTTTCAAATAATATATATATATATATATATATATAGTTATATATGATCTGCAAAATTTTGTATTTGTCGAGGTACATGTACCACTAGGAGAAACACACTTGTGTTTTATTTTGCTTATTGATATGTGAGTAAAATACAAGGTTCTCAAACAAAATTGTTGCTAAATTTGAGTAACTTACACTCCATATAAAGAAAACATGCTTGACTTTCACACCACAAGTTTGCTACTGGTAAAGATCTCATTTTGCTTGTCTTCCCCTGCCTGCGCCCTTACTGTTTTTCTCTTGTATTAATTTGCAAAGAATATGTGAAACAATTTAAATCATATTCTCATTTATTCTCTTCTTCAACTTTGCTTTTTTCTGAATATAATAAAATTTTCACAAGTTATTTTTTGCATATTTTTGGAAGCATCCTTGGCATTCAGTTTGAAAATTGGCATTATTTTTCAGTGAAAGATTCTGTGGGGGCATATGTTAATTTAAACAGCCAACTTCATTGTTGTAAGGGTAAGAGGCTGGTAATCTAATTTCAATAGGGCTTTACATGAAAACTGTATTACTGATGTGTAGGTTTCTAAAATACAAGTTTTAAAATTTAGGATATCTCAATATCATTTGGATCATTTCGTGAAACACAAGTTTTGATACCCATCCCAAGTGGTTTAGAATACCGTACCACTGAATTCAGGCCTAACAAGTTCCTAGATAATACTGATGTTAATAATCCAGGGACCACACTCTGAGAATCGTGGCCTTTGCATATTGGAACAAGACAAGTGAGCTCCTTTCTTTTTCGTATTATCATTTCCATAGGACCTAGACTGCGCAGCCCAACTCCCAGCCCATTTATTGACAGTCATTTTATTGTAGCTGGAGGCTTTACAGTAAGCTGTTTATTGCTATTTCCCAAAACAGTTGACAGCATTTGGGGAATTAATTTTCTTGGCCCCAGTGTGCTTTTTTTCTAGAGGTTAGAGTATAGGTGTACTGATGTTGTTAAAGCTAAAAATGTAACCTATTTACATTAGATGTCTTCTTTAAGGGATAAAAACATTCTGTGTGAGTCATACTTCCTTTTAGTTCAGGATAAACCAACCATGTTTAAGTTTGTAAATCAAATATTAATTTTAGAGGTTAAATACCTCAACTTTACAGATCCTTTGTGTATGTATACATTTCTAATTTGCTGATGAATTTCTTAGAAATGTGTATGCATGCTATGTTCATGTGTGCTTTGTATTTTTATAGCATGTAGAGAATTATTTCTGTCCTAAAATATTTAGAGATACCACATTGCATCTAATTTTTAAATTTCACTTTCAAAATAGTTTAAACTTATAAAACAAGAAATTATAAAGTAGTGTAAAGATTTCCCTTACATCCGGCTTTCCCTATTACACCTTACAATAATATAATGCACTTGGGTCCACCTATAAGTTACACCCATCTTTCCCATCAGGTACTTCTCATGTTAGAAGATGCATAGTTATTTTTCATGTCTGAATAATTCTTAGCAGCAGCTACTGAAATGCTATAATGTCGTGTAAAATGTACAAAACAGTTACAGGACTACATTTAGAACAGTTAGAAAGAAAAATGCAATTGTAAATCAAGGGAGCAAACCACTAAAATCCCTAAGATGTTTTCCACAAGTATTTTTCAGAATAGACAGTGGTAATTTCGTGTGGTCGCATGTAGTTAAAAACTGCTTCCCCAAATGCAAATTACTTACAAATGTTATTGGCTGTGATTTTTATTTCATTCTCCTTTCTAAATGCCCTGTGCATATAAGGTCAGTTGAGGACCCAGGATCCCTGGGATATTGATTCACGTGTTCGAAATGGCAATAGGAATGGGAATTCTCTTTAAGCTGGTCTTCCTTTCTCTTTATTTGTGAAACAAATATCGGATTTTATTTCACCTTCATTCTCCTGAGCTTAGGAATTTAAGGCACAGTTTGACATGGATTGCTGATCAACTCAAAGAGAATAAACATGAAATATTGCCACTGTAAAAGCATAGACATATCTGCTAATTCCTGTACATTTTGCACATGGGAACCATAATTGCTGTAGTTAAAATTTTCCTTTATATTTTTCCAAATTTTGCAGCCATCTTCTAGAAATAATGTACTCACATCCTCTTTAGATGGAAATGACACAACATCTACCATGACAGAACAGGCATTAACATTAAAATTACTTTGCAAAAACTGTACCTGTTTTTGGCATAGTCACTGAGTGACATGCTGAGCTTTTATGGTGTACGCATAATCTATTTAAATAATTTCCACAATCATTTACCTATTCGGAGTAGCAAGGATGTTCAACTCAATATATAAAATATTAAAATGAGATGGCGATTCAATATAAAATCTCAAACTTG